AATATTTTTTTTTTTTTTTTTTTTTTTTTTTTGCAGCTGGCTGGTATGGGATCGAAGCCAGTGACCTTGGGGTTATAAAGCTGTGCTTTAATCAGCCAAGCTAACCAGTCAGCCTTGAGGCTTCCTTTTAAGCTTAGTCTGGATCTCATTTTGCCTCTTACTACTGAAATAATACTCTTCTGAGTATTCTAGGCACCTTGGCCTTCTTGAGTTTTCAACCCTGTCCCTTCAACTCAGGGCTATGACCATGCTCTGTTTGGGGCTTTCTCTCCCTGCTCCACAGCCCAGAAACTCTCTCCATGCTGGGACAATCTCAGGGCTCACCTTGTTTGTTTTACTTTCATCAGGGATCACTGTCCCATGCTTTCTGTTGACAGTGTCTGAACAACATTGTCTTAATGTTTTTCATTGTGTTTTAGGTGTTTAAATCTGGTCCCTGTTACTCCATCCTGGCTAGGAGCAGAAGATATTTTAATAGAAAACTTAAAAAGAGAACTTCAGATACTTTTTGGAGCTTAATATAAACTTGATTAGTGTGAGAACTCTAGGGTGATATTAGTTAAACAATAATAGAATATAATGACATACAAATAGAAAATACATTGTAAAAAACATAAACAACTTTTAGTACAATAGCACGAATCTGAGAAGAATTTTAGATAGCAAATCTATAAGTACAAAATAGTTTACTTTTAAGTGCGCCACTCTTTTCTCCTATACCAATAGCTTGACCAGGCAGAAATCTTACAGTCCTCAATTAGAACCTATGTTAGTGTGACTTCATTCGTTTTTCTACCTGGAAGGAAGCCCCAGAATCCACATGTCACATTACACTACATTTAACAAGGTAATGGCAAAGACAAGGTTTGTAGTGTCCCTAGACACTTCAGCTTTAGTCCCAAGCCACTGTCTGCAGATCCTAATATTCACGACTGGTTCTCAATGTAATTATGTCAGTGTTTACAGTTGAGGTAGGATAATCGGAGGTGACTACAATAGATTTTACTACTTGACTCACATTTGCTTTACTTAGAGCTCCACTACCCATTTCTAAACTGGAGTCTCTTTAATGATGGAAGGCAGATGTCAAAAGGCTCCTCTGGCACAGAAAACTCCAGAGCTAAAGAATCTTTAACTCCGTTTTTTATTTTATTGCATGTATCTAGAACATCACTGAAAGTTCCCAAGGGCCATTCTCACCAGTATATTTCTAGAAACTATTTCTAAACTATCTTTATTGTCTTTCACATGTGTTTTTAATTCTTAAAAGATTGGCTTTTAGTACTGATTGCTTTAAAAACCAAAGCAAAAATCACCTTAGCTGTAACAGTTAAATTGACTCATGGGTTTCAATATGAAATAATCTTTGATATATTCTAAGTTAATAATAACAAAACTCAGGCCAACTCTCTTCTGTGTTGAATTTTGTAATATCTTAAAATCACCTTGTTATATGGTCTTTGCTCTGGAAGTTTTGTAAAAATGTGACCCAAAGCCCTACTTTTTGGCTGGTAAATATATGATAAGGTCTCCTGTGCTGCTGCTGCCTCCACCCGATCAATCAGCCATACTTCTAATGAGTGTTTACCACCCAAGCCTTGTACATATAAGAAAGTGGACAGAGAAATACATTACTGTTGAAGGAGAAGAAATGACTGATGATTATGTAAATGGTACCAGAAGGGATTTCTTTTAATTTTTTTGCTCTGAGAGCCACACATAACAGATCTATTAAATTTACAGCCAGTTCTAGCTGGAATTTATTTTCATTGGATTGCACAAATGTGCTAATTTGGTCATTTATCTGGACAATAAATGGCGTGTCATTTTTCCCCCTAAGAACAAATGAGAGCTGTGTGTTTAAATCTTCTTTCCCCTTCATAGCCTGGAAGTCGGTCTCAGATGGGAAAGCTGGCAACCAGAGTGTGTATAAATTTCAGTACAAAAGCCTGAAACAGGCAGGCCGCCTGGCAATGATAGTTACATTCAAGCGAATGAACAAAGAGTCAGAGGCAGGTGAATGAGCGATCTCCCCTCAAATCCAACAGGCTATAGAGGGTGAAGTCCGGATGGGTCCTTGAAAAACAAAACACCGAGAATTGTCCCTCTGTGCCAAATGTTAAATAAATAAGGTGTCAGAAGACCAGAGGGCAAGCAAGTAATAACCACACCCCCTCCAGCGCCCTCATCAGTCCTCCTCTGTTGGGTGAGGAACTGGCTAAAGCTGGGCTAATCTGCTGTTTCATTGAGACAAAGAGCTTTTCAGCGCAGCACATTCTGCAAACACCGTTAATATCAAGATCTTGTCTGAGTGTTCCATTTAGTAGCACAGTTGCCCCTAAACACGCTGATGATACAGAGTGATTATCTCACAAGGGAAAATCTAGGTAGACAAGCCAGATGAGCTGTTGTTTTAAATTTTGAATCTGCAAATAGATGAGTGATTGCTTAGTGGACTCTCTAGAGTTGAGGCTCCCACCTAATTCTATCCTTTCTTCCCTTTGTTTTTTTGTGTTTAGAAGTGGCTATTTGATTCCATTTCAGACCTGTGCATCTCACTTGAAGTGGCAGAAAGACTGCTTTGTGTTCAGCAGAACTCTGTGCCACCATGAGAGACTGTTCTTAAATCCCAGGATGCAATAAGCTGCCTCCACAATTTTCTACCTACCCCTCTATAAGTTTTCCTGTTCCTTGGTGGCTTTTCTTACGTTTGCAGACAGACTCTTATATAAAGGTGGGCTTCCCCTTTGTGCCATTTAGTTCTCTAGCTCAAGAGGTAGGTGGAAAACACTACTGCTGTTTACCAGAGCATGTCCACAAAGCTGGGCTGGAACTCTTGACGAAGGGAAGTGAGAATTGAGTCCTGAGACAAGGCAAGCTGCTGGAAGATTATATTTCGTTTGTTCCATCACTTTATATACAGACAGGACCTAATGAAGCCAGTTCTAACTCACCATTTCTTATGAAGAAATTTATTAGGTGGAAATTCTTAAATGTTATGGTAAATGCTAATAACTTTATATACATGCTAACTACCAGGAAACAAGAAGCCAGTTGTGCCATAAAATTTAATCTTTATGAATAGATCAAAAGTAGGATCTTTCACAAACTAGGAATATTTTGAAAATCTACCTGGGACTTATCCCATTTGTACTCATTATTCGTTAGCATTTTGGCTTCATTTCTGGGCTCAAACTAAACATTTCTCATCTTTACTGTCTTCTTGCTTTCCCTGGGAGAAAATCACTTTGTCGATTTCACCCCCAACTCTACAGTTTCATTTACTAGTTTCCCAGCAGTACCAGGCACTGTGCTAACCTCTGAAAATACCCTGATGAGCAGGGTGCACAGACCCTGCCCAAAGGGACATGGTGGACATCAACTCCATCAAAAGTTCTGGGTAACAGGTTTGAAGCAAGTGTAGCAGTAATGGTGAATACACTGCATGGGTCCAAAAAGTGATGCTTGAGCTGAGAATTGTTCAAAGGATTGGAAGTTCACTTGAAGGAAGGGCATCCCAGGCAGAGCATGACTGAGTCCTGGGAGAAGGATGCAGGATGATGCATGGTATGGATGGGGAGCTGCTGATGGTTCCGTGCAGTTGAGAGAGAGAGAGAGAGAGAGAGAGAGAGAGAGAGAGAGAGAGTGTGTGTGTGTGTGTGTGTGTGTGTGTGTGTGCATGTGTGGATGTGTGCTGGAGATGGACAAGGAAGACAGAAGGGAAGGAGGAAATTGGAGATGCATTGACAAAGCACACTAGAGCCAAATCGGGAAGAGCCTCACGTGCCACACTAAAGAGTTTAGCCTGTATTCTTCAGGCCATAGTCACTTTAAATGACATCACCAGAACTGTACTTTGAAAAGGAAATTTTGTGAGGAGGAAAAACAGAATAAAGAGGCACCAGTTGATCTGAGGGAGATTTGGGAGGTGTCATTGAGAAGATGTCACTACCAGTTTGGTAAATGTGATTTTTTTGGTAAAGAAAAGTTACAGAACAGTTTTCCTCCCCATCTATAATGATGGGAAGGTGCTTTTACCTAGAGGAGGCAGGACATGGCTCTTGTTTCAGGAATTAAACTTGAAAACCATGAGGAAAATCGTGGGAGAATTGTGCTTTCTATAGAAGCACTAACTGAAGAAAGGTACCCAGTGGATGGCGTGAGCAAGATTCTGGGGCACCCAGGTGGAGGGCGACCTCATTCAGGTCAACCCTTCCGGAAGAGATACAGTGGCAGGACTCTTGAGTTTCGGTCTGAGAAGCCACACTGTAATCCTAGCCCTGGAGGTCTTTCATGTGTCATCTGACCCAGTCCTGCAAACCTGAGCCATGAGGTCAACAAACTTGCCTGTTGCTCAGCTGCTTTCCCTTCCTCCCTGTAGCTTTAGGGCATGGTGATTCTTCTCTGCTCCATGGCACTGTAAGAGTTTGAAGCGTCTTCTTAATAAATGTTTTCTTCCAAAAAACCAATTCTCGTAACAGTATGTATCCAAGGCAGTGCTAACCCTCGGACTAGATTACCTTTGTTGGAATAGTCCTAACGTTTCTACTCATATGACATAAGAAAGAAACTCTTTTCTGTCTTTCTTTTTCATGTTGGCTACTCGGACTTTTCTAATATGAAGTTCTTCCTTGATTTTGATGGTTCCTGTAAGAAAAATGTCACTGGTTGGAATCCTGTGCTTCATTCTCTTTTCCTTGTGTTTCTTCTCTCCTGCTTTCTCTTCCTGCCCAGAGTAAGACAGTGCTTAGAAGGAAGGATTTGCTTTGCATTCATTTCAACAACCATAAAGTTACATTTTAAGTTATTCTAAAAGGAACTAGTGTTATTATATGTTCTTTTTTTCCCTCCAATGTAATGATGTCCAGACTATCTTGTGTGATATCTCTAGAAAGAAAAGAAAATTCCTACCTTTGGCTACTTTTTGTTCAGTTGAATTCTTTAGCTACTTTTTTCCAGAATTCATTCTTGATTTTGTTCAGGTACACACTGAATATCCTCGAAGAAATTGGTGGTGGGCAGAAGGTCAATGATGACATTATTGTCAACTGGGTGAATGAAACATTGAAGGAAGCAGGGAAAAGTTCATCCATCTCTAGTTTCAAGGTAAGCTTCCTCCTCTCCTGCTGGAGGCCACCTGAGCCGTATGCTTATCTTTATTGTTTTCATTATATTTTAAAGAGACCTTTGATGTTAGGTATTTAATGCTTCTCCTTCCATTTTGATTTTATGTAAATGACCTGTTATTACATCTATGTTCATTGGCCATTTTACTGACAAATTTCTTATCACTTTCTTCCATAATAGTTCATTTTAAAAACTCATCATTTTTTACACATCATTTTAGGCATTGTTCTTTCAAAGTAACATAAAGTATAATAATATTTTTTAAATGTGCACACCTCCATGGTTCAGATTTTTAACATTGTAATGGTGAGATATAAAATTCTACAAGATCTCCCATGTTTTTCCAAAAAAAAAAAAGCAGTTGTGTACTTGTATCCAAATCCCATTTTTATTAATAACCACAGTATACTTTATTAAATTTCTTAACTCATGTTTCATATTAGCTGGATTCTTCCTCAAGGGACCTGTGGCGTTTGATCATATTACCATAATGTCTGTGCTGTCTTAACTATATTTTTCTAGTATAAAGGTCAGAACTGGGGGGAGAGACCCCTTCAGGGTCAGTGAGGCCGTCTGTCATAATATCAATCCTCTGCTTCAAAATCAAGAGAGAATGCAAATCTCCTCCCAGCAGAAAGAGCAGGAGATAAGGGGGGGTAGGGCTGTGCCAGGCGTGCTCACCCGCCGTGAGCTCGTCACAGGTGGCGGTCACCTCTGCCCACCTCCAGCTTACCGTGCAGTCTGGAGAGCCGAGCAGAGTTAGGAGTGGACGCTGGTAATTAAATTGAGCAGGTTCCTTCAGAAAGAGATTTGGGAAAGCAGCAAGGAAAAGCAAAGTCAAAAGGAGCTCTGAGCACCAGGGGCTTCTAGATCATAATGGCTCCGTTCACACCCTGGGACACTGTGGAGCCGGCTTTACTGCTCCCTCATTCTATAGGTGAGGACATCGAAGCTCAGGTAACTTCCTGAGATCACGGCTCTAACTGCAGGGGATGGCCCATAAGTGGGGGGGTGCCTTTTACTTGTGGGGTGAGGTTGCAGAACAGAATATATCTACAGGTCACTTAGCCAGTAGATGAGGTGACCAGTTACACACAGGCCAGGTGTGCTTCTCTTTGTAAAACAGCTGCCACTGCAGCCTGTGACATTCCGCTGCATCTTCTGGGGTGTTCTTATGGGGGCCAGGTTTGGCAAGCCATGGTGGAGCTCACTCTTAGGAATGTTTGACAATTCTTTTGCTCCTTGTGACACTCTGGGCTCCTGTCTCCTCCTGTCTTCTCACTAAGTCATTACCAAATTAAGTGAATAGAGCCACACGGTGAACTTAAAGGAAATGTCAGATGAGCTCCACATTCCTGATTAACCATTTTGGAAATAACCGCAGTCCCTTCCTCATCTCCATCTGCCACCATTTGCTGGTCGTGTCCGTGCCTGTCGGCACCGCCACAGGACTGTGGGCAGGATGCAGGAACGAAGGCGACATGCATATCTTTCCATCTTGTTTCCTTGTGCTTTTTCACCAAAAAGTTCCGTGGAGATAGAGGCCAAGGCTATTGGTAGAAATTAGGTTGTGATTCTATATTAATTTGGGGGTAGTTCTTTTATTACCCAGAAGTAAATAAAAATGAACCCATTATATTTTTGAAAACTACTATTCTACCTGTTCAGGAAGAGCAGTGCTAGAGAAACCAGCACCTGGCAGGGGTCCTGTGTCCTGTTCCTTGCTTAGAATTTATTCTGATTTGGATCCAAAAAGTTTGAGGTGCTTGGACATCACTGTGCTTGGATTGTGACACACAGTTGTGCTCACAGGTCCCCAGGACTGAGATCTCCTAGTGAGGCAGGAGCTCGGAGAACAGACAGTGCAGAGTTTTGCACATTCACACCTTAGGAGCATTCGTGGCTCTAGGTGTGAACATCAAAATGTTTACAAACGTCAAAGAAGGAACCCAGGATTTTAAGTTGGAATTTGAAATTTCAATCTCAGCTCCACCACTTTCCAGCGAGTCACTTACCATCAGGAACTCCCTGCACTCATCTGTAAATTAAAATTAGATCCTACACCTAAGGTTTATGGTAACAATTAAGTGAGACTACCTGGGACAATGCTGGGCAAACGTGAGGCACTAACAAATATTAGTTATCATCATTGCTTTGAGTCACATGATTGCTGTTACGGTTTCCCTGGGCAATGACAGTTCTCTTCCCCTTAGATCTCCAAGAAAGGGGCAGCTACTGAAGCTTTTGTCCTACTGTGCCCTCATCACTATCCCTGTCATTCACTTCTGGGATGTCCCCTATACAGGAAGCAGGGTTTCTCCTAATATCTTTAGTCTCTCCTTTCTGATGGTTTCTTTTTAAAATTATTCCATCCTCTACTATACTACTGTATTACTGGTAGCTAAAAGACATATTATATCTTGACCTTTATGTTTTTCTCTAGTTGTGCTAACTTCCTTCCATTCATTGTTTGAGAATGACTCCCTGCTGTTGACAGACAACGGGCTTTCTAGGAAGTTACTGGTGCCCCTACAGAAACTACAGCTGATTTGAGACACTGTGTGGAATACTGTGGCATTTCGCAGACCAGGCTGTACATATCTCATGTTTAAGAGGAAAGAATCACCCACTTCCCTTGAGCTTAATGGAAGTAACTTTGAGCCATGTTGGAAAACCCTCTGTTTCTGTGTGCAGGACCCAAGGATTAGCACAAGTCTGCCTGTTCTGGATCTCATTGATGCCATTCAACCAGGTTCTATTAATTATGACCTTCTGAAGACAGAAAACCTGGACGATGAAGAGAAACTCAACAATGCAAAGTATGTAAAGAGACCTGAGATCAGGTGGGAGGGACCTGACCGGCAACTAGACAGTTGCACAGTCTAATGCTCATGCCTTTGTGCAAACACTTTATTTTTACCATTCATGCTTTTTTTTCTCATGACTTCTTGTAGTCTCATCCTCATTATTATAGATATGGTGCAAGAGCATTTTAAGGCTCCTATTATTAGAAATGGGAGCAAGACAAAAAACAGTAAGAATTTTCTTGCAATTAATAAGCAAGCCTATGGTTTCATAAAACAAATTTCTAATCATCATCTATAGGAGACTTCCAAAATAAAGTTTGTAAATGCAAACACCCACTCATGAACATTCATGGATGTGAATGTGTAGGGGTGATTTCAACACCAACCAGAGTCGAAACAGGCTTGAGAGCAGCTGCTGTGTGCTTTACCGTTCAGGTCAGATGGTTCCTCTTGAGCAAGGGTTAGCAGACTCCAGTCTCTGAGCCAAATCTGGCTTGTTGTCTGCTTTTATAAATAAAGTTTTATTGGAACACAGCTCATTCATTTACATATTTTCTATAAATGCTTCCCTGCTACAACTGCAGGGTTGAGTAGGTATAACAAAGCCTGCAAAGCTTATGATATTTACTATCTGGTCCTTTACTGAAAAAGTTTACCAAATCCTGCTCTAGAGAGTGCCTTTCTCAGAGCTGGTTGTATTAGTTTCCTAGGACTGCCATAACAAAGTACCACCCAAACTGAGTGGCTTAAAACAACAAATGTTTATTCTCTCACAGTTGTGGAAGCTAGAAGTTCAAAATGAAGATGTTGCCAGGGTTGGTTCCTTCTGAGGGCTCTGAAGGAGAATCTGTCCCATGACTTCTTTCCTAGCTTTGGGTGACAGCCTGTAATCCCTTGTAGTGGGGGTTAGGACTTCAACATATGAATTTGGGAGGGACACAGTTCAGTTCATAATACAGGTCTAGAATTAGCATGTCTAGTGGCCAGCATCCCTGCTTTATAATCCCAATAGTGCCCTTCTCTGTGTTCCCAATTTGGGAAGGTGGAGACATGTGCTCCCCATATGCTGGTGTTTAGCACAGTCTCATCAAGAGAAGGTAAGTAATTAAGCTACAATTACAATAGAGTGTGATGAGTTGTGTAGAAGGGAGAGTACAGTGCTACGGAGGGGCAGGAAAGGAACTGAAGCTCTTTCAAGCAAATAACATCTAAGCTCAGCTAAATTAAAAGAAGGAGGTAGGCAGGTGAAGGAGATAGGAATGATGTTCCAGGCAGAAGGAAGAACGCATATGAAGACCTACAGATTTAAAAAAAAAAGGCCTTCAGCCCAGATGTTCAAGGGGGTTGTGATTAGAATCAAGTTACTTGCCACAGTCGTACAATTTTAAGTTAGGCAGTTGAGATTCGAAGTCTGACTTCAGAGCCCAGGCTGCTAAGCACTCTCTTGTAAGGGCAAGATACAAAATGACTTAAAAAAAAAAAAAATGTGAAAGGAATAAGACAAAAATGCTAAGAAGGGTTATTTTATTGTCGCAAGATTGTGTGTGATTTTTTTGAACATCCTTTTGATTTTTTAAACAATTTTCCCTCTACATTTTATAATGGAAAAATAAATTTTACTTCATTATAATTAATATAGAGGAAGTTATTGAAAAATGGACAAGGAAAAATGTGACTCCTCCTGCCCGATGCTCTTAATTTGATCAATAAAGTAAGAGTAAAGTTACTTTAGGAGAGCAGGACAGTAATGGGACCTTGGATGGAGTAAGAGGTCACTGATTAATAAATGAGGTCAATGAAAGAAGTGCCAGGTGGTAGTGTGGGCTCATTTGAAAATAGATTACAACTAATAAAAATTATCTTCATATAACTACAAATCGAGCAAAAATGTTCTGATGTAGCAGTGATCATTTTATGTGAAAAATATGGAATGAAAACTCTGGCTGTCCTAATATGGTACCTAAAAGCAAATACACATATATATGGGCAAGAATTGGAATGGAGAAAGGGATAAAAGAATTGGTGTATAAGGCTGAATATTAGAGATGCAGTTTTTCCTCTTTTCTTCCTTGAGAAAAATGTTTCTGTGGTTGAAATATAGTCTGCAAACTTTTCCTAGCACAAATTTTTGTTCAGTTCTATGACTTTTACTGCCACACTGAAAATACTTCTGGTGCGGGTATCGGAAGTGGCAGGCGCTGGGGAGATCTCCAAGGACAAATAATACATTTGATAATTATCGTGAGGCTACACAGCACGTCTGAGCTTCATCAAGCCAAGATGTGTCCACAAAAGTGGGAGGATGCTGGCGACTGGCTCCAGCTATTCCAGGAGTGAGTTCCATCCTGACCGTGGCTATGATCCTGAGGGTCCCCTTCAAGCTTTGTTGCTCAGGCTTTCCTCATTTTCCCCCTTTTCTCCCTGTTAGGTATGCCATCTCTATGGCCCGAAAAATTGGAGCAAGAGTGTATGCGCTTCCAGAAGACCTGGTTGAGGTGAACCCCAAAATGGTCATGACAGTGTTTGCTTGCCTCATGGGGAAAGGAATGAAGAGGGTGTGAGGCCCAGCGGGGCAGGGTAGGAGGCAGCGCCCTGAGTCCTGACTGCCCTGCACAGGAAGCTCCCAGGACGCACGGGACGATTCCAGCCATTCCAAAGTTTCAACTGGTGACACTGTACAGGATTCCAAAGAGCACTTATTTGTTCAGCCAAGTAGCCTCTCCTGTATTTAACAAAAAGTGCTTCACTCTTTGCAGAAGACCCAATCTCCTACAATTATTTTTTATTCTTGATTTATTTGCTTCTTTGAAAATCTACAGAAAAAAAGAATTTATTTTCCAAGTACCCTTCCTGCTTTTGCTATTAGTCGAGGATAGAAGCTGCACTGTTATTAATTTTGACATAATTTTTCAAGCCAGTTTAGTGGAGCTGCCTTATTCTTTCTCAAG